AAAACCTATTGTCTTGCTAATTACAAATATAGTAATTTTTGTTGCCTGCCTTTGCCCTTAAGAGTCCCTTGATTATGTTACATTCTAAGAACAAAGAGCTACAATCCAAGATCCTTTTGTGCTGGAAAATCAGTTATCAGCTCAACAGGATGGAAAAGAATAGGGCATAGAGTCCATTCTATTTCTTTCAGCTATGCCTTCCCAGAGACATTACCTTTTAAAAACTTTTTAATTTATTAGTGAAATGCTAAAAATGTCCTCTTTTCAAGAAGAGAAATTCCTTGAAACCAAATTCAATAAAAAAAAATCAGTTGATTCCCAGAAATCACCCAACCCTTTCATCAAACTACACATCCCTTCTGCAAATCTAAAAATCACGTCCAGTGAAAAAGAAGGGAATTTTTCTGTAGCTTGAAAATTTTAATTTGATTTTTTAAAAAGCTTATTTGCATGGGGCAGCTAGGTGGCGCTGTGGATAGAGCACTGGCCCTGGATTCAGGAGGACCTGAGTTCAAATGTGACCTCAGACATATAACACTTACTAGCTGTGTGACCCTGGGCAAGTCACTTAACCCTACCACCTAGCCCCCCCCCAAAAAAAAGCTTATTTCTAATAATAATAGCATGCAGTATAACCAGAAAAGTAAAGGGGTAACAATACAGAACTTACACAGAAATGTCAACTCATACTGTCAATGACCACGTGCAACAATTCTTAATAAGCTAAAATGAAATATGGTACGTAGCAGGAAGTTCTATGTGACCAAAACATATTGCCATTTGGCTTATTAGAAAATAAGTCAATTTGATCTCAGCAATATCTTCCTTCCCCCTCATATGGCACCTTTATAGGAAGCCCAGCCCCCAAAGAGAAAGAATAAATATTAAACTGTTCTGTTTTTACCTCCCAATGGCTGAACACCAACTGTGGGCTGGCAAGACCACTTGTCCTCTTCCTTATTTCATCAGCAAATCCAAAGCTTTCAGCTACTGGAAGCACAGCTTTGATAATGAACATGTCCGTCCCTTCTTTCATCTCTTCCTGCAGTACTCGACCTTCTCTCTTTGACAAGACAGCATAGACCCGACCTGCAAAATCATAAGTCTCATTAACTGGCTGAACTTGTCACAAGTTTTTTTTTTTAAGGCAATTGGGGTTAAGTGACACCACACAACTAGTAGGTATCAAGTGTTTGGTCTAAGGCCATATTTGAACTCAGGTCCTCCTGACTATTCACTGCGCCACCTCGCTGCCCCTTGTCACAACTTTTTAGCCACAAAGAAACACATACTTAAGAAAGTCCACTATTACAATCTGCCCTAATGTGCGGTTTTCTCAAATATCATCTTCTGTGGCCTATGTTTTCTGAAAGGCCTTCATAACATTAACTTGCCTACAATACAGTCTTGGGATATTGACCACATGGTTCTAGTTACGGGAGACATCTAAGCCAAAGAAAAGGGGACATATTTATTTATATACTTTTCTTCAACCCACTCTTCTAAAAAGTATGAGAATGAGAGAATATCAGCCCTGGAAAACTGACACTTTAAGTTATTTCATGTACCCTAACAATTCTTGTCACATAGAAATCAAACAAGTTTTTTTTGGCCAAAGCTTTTCCTATTCATTACCATTATTTCATATACTTGGGAAGCAGTATCTTCACATACATGAGTATTTACATGGAAAGTATATTTTTATCCTAGAAGGATGATGACTATCCATAGTAAAGAGTATGGATAACTGAAATTCATATACAATGCTAAAGACTAATTTTGGCCAATACTTCAATTTTGTCACTTTTTCTATGTAACTTTTTATGAGACTTGGCAATAAAGAATAAAATGGGCTAGCCTCACTTCCTCTTCCTGACCCTTCCTGCCCTCTGGTGGTGATGTTAATGAAATTACTAAACAGGGAACAGCAGAAGGGATTAAGAGAAATAAATAAAGGAGAGAGAAATAATCCACAAACAGGATAAGGACACGTTAAGAGTGGATGATTCCTCAAAAACCTGGCTATTGCTTATCACTATTCTCCTCAACATTTTCCATTTTTTCTAGCTCTAATGCCTTTTTCTTACCTTTCAAATATATTCAGGCAATATTCCCCATCTTAGAAATTATTTCTTTTGATCCCATTACCCCTTCCAGTTTCCCCACCCAAAAAACGAAGATCTGTCCAGGATGTTTATTTATTCCTTCTTCATCACCCTGAAATCTATCTTCCATTCCCCACACTACTGAAAATGCTCTTTTGAAGGTTACTGACTCCCTTATTGCCAAGTGGGCTAATTTGCCTTCATACAGTTTTTTTCTAGGTCCTAATTCTACTTGACTTCTTTGTGGCAGTTAAAACTGTTGACCACAGCCTCCATTCTTGAAACTTTCTCCTCTCTTGTTTTCCTTTCACCCTTCCAAAAGATTTCTGATGCTTCTTTTTCCCTCTGCCTAACCTTTAACTGTAGGGTTTAACCCGGACTCAGTCTTTGTTCTCTCTGGTACGCTTTAAGCTTTAACTATCCTATTTTTTTGTGTATTCAATTACTATTTGTATGTCTTCCATATTTCTACATCCAGCTTTGATCTGATCTCCAAACCCTTCTATTACCAAGACATTTTCACCTGGATATCCTACCTTTACGTTACAGTTAATGTGCCCAAAATTTAATTATCTTCTCTATAAATTTAGTTTCACCTCTCAAATTTCCAATTCCTGTCAATTACTAACACTGCCCTCTTAATAACTCAGAGGAGAAATCTTGAAATCACCTTTGACTTTTCCCCAGGTCCATTGCTCCTCTCTTTCCATTCTTCCTGAAACTATCCTAATTCAGGCTGCCCTCACTGTTTCTGGTTTAACCAGCATTGCAACTTCTAGCTTCTCCTAGTTTCAATCTATTCTTTACTACTGACAGAATTATTTTCGCAAAACACCATTTTGTCACGTTATTCAATCAAGAACTGCCTATGGATTCTCCTTCCCTATGGAGTCCAATTATTCTTTCTAACAAGGTCTTTCACACTGGGCCCTATCTTAACTAATTTTTATCTCTAGTTTCCTTAAAATCCTAAACACTCAGTTCCTAAACCTACTCACTTCCTACAACCTATTCCTCCAACCCAGCTCACCCCCACACAAAGATAGTCATACCTTTGATCTTGCTATCATCCACAAATGTACTACCTCCAAGTCCAAGAATTCTGAAATCCACTCCTCCAACCATAATCTACTGGTTTTCCACATTTCCCTCTGCTTTCCTTTACATAACTCTACCCTTTATCCTCACTGTGACCAATTCCTTGGCCCCTCAATTCTTTCCCAAACTATTTCCTCTGCACTAGCCACTCTTTCCTCTTTTCCCCATCTTGACCCTTTGCTGAACTGATTCAACTCTATTGTCCTCTTCCCTTAAGTCCTTAGCCCCTTATCAAACTGGATGTCCAGCAGATATCTTCAACTCAACACATCCAAAACAAAATTCATTACCTTTCCTCCTAAAAGCTCCCCCATCCCCTATCTTCCCTATTGCTATAGAAGGTGACATCATCCTCCCAGTTGCTCAAGTCTGTAACCCAGGAGTCATCTTCAACTCTTCTCTTTCACCTCCTAACTCCATCCAATCTCTTGCCAAGGCCTGTCATTTCTACCTTTGCAACATGCTCCCTTCTCTCCTCTAACACTGCTACCACTCTAATGCAGGTTCTCATCACCTCATACCTGGATTACTGCAATAGCCTGGTGGCAGGTCTGCCCTCCGTAAGTCTCTCCCCATTCCAATCTATCCTCCACTCAGTCACTAACGAGATTTTCCTAAAGCACAAGTACACAACCATGTTACCCCCAACTCATTAAATTCCAATGGCTTCCTATTGCTTCCAGAATCAAATGTAAAATCCTCTTTTTGGTGTCCAAAGCCCTTCATAACCTAGCCCCCTACTATCTTTCCTGTCTTCTTGTACCTTATTCTCTGCCACATACTGCTTGATATAGTAACACTGGCTTCCTTGCTGTTGCACGAACAAGACATCCCATCTCTTGGTTCTAGGCACTTTCTCTGGCTGTCCCCCATGCCTAGAATGCTCTCCCTCCTCATCTCTTCCTACCGGCTTCTTAAATCTAAAATCTCACCTTCCACAATAAGTCTTTCCTAACACCTCTTAATTTTAGTGCCTTTTCTGTCTTTCTTATTTCCCATTAATCCTGTACTTTGTTTTACTATCACCTATAACCTTACCTTTCCTAGAAAACTATCCTTTATAATGATTTTTTTTAAAAAAAAGAAAAAGAAAAGAAAAAAATTAGCAAAACTGAACAACACCTTGGAAAACTCTGACATTACCTGTAATGTTCCGTATCTGTGGACCCCAACCTTTATGCTGAATCCCCTAGTTTAAATGTAGGGACTAGGAGTCTATTATAAAACTGCCTGATTTACAATATGGTTTTCAAAACTCATGCTAAAGCAATCTTCCAGCATAATGGGATAGAGGTAAAGTTCCATATTAGTAAAGACCAACATAGTTTCTAGTTCTGCATAAAGGGAATATTTTCATTTCCCTGTACATAGCCTAGAGTAGCAGGGTTTGGTGTTTGTTTGCTTGTTTTTCAATCAAGGTTATAAGCATTTCTCTTAAATTAAAACACACACACACACACACACGAACTTTAATAGATCTCTCCACTTAACCCTATCCACATATAAGATAAGCTCAATATGAAAGACACTGCTTTAGTATAATTGTACTTTAATGGAATGTAAGACTGTTTGAAAACCTAACAAGTTTACAAAAGGCTAAATGGGTGCGGCCTGGGTTTTTTTTTTAGCTTTGCTGGGAAGAGGGACAGGAGAAAGTGATTCCCATAGGAGGAGAAAGCTGACAATTAAAACATGAAAAAAGGATTTATCACTGAAAATCAAAGGGTTGAGATTAGAAGAAACGCAAAAATATTTGGGTAACATTCTGAACAAGGGTTTTATAGCTTATTGTTGTCCTTAATTCTCGAAGAGAACCAAAATGACATCACTATGTTAGAGAGTCAAATGACAGTGTGTCTGACTGGCTGATCAGACCAATACGAGCTTGGAAGGCTCTACCACATGTCAGGCACAAATAGTCCACATGAACATCTGGAGTGGACATGTTTCTAAATTTGCGCATCTCACGTTTCTTTTCAGCTACTTCAATTTTGTTTTGCTCATAGAGCACAGCATCTTCTCTGATGAGGGCATGTCATGCTGGGCGTGTTCTGTGTAACAAAATCAATTCCGAAGTTCTTATGTGACACCTTTATCCTTGTATTGCTCTTTCTGACCATCATGTGAGTGCTTGCCCTCTGTGGGTTCTCCATAAAATAGTCTTTTTTGGCAAGCATACATTTGGCATTCAAGGGGGGGAAAAGCCATGTATCCCAACAACTGGTAAACATTTACTGACTGACTGATAATTGTAGCAATAGGTCTCCATTTATATCAAAACTGAATATACTAAGAAAATTTTAATGGTAGGTTGTATTTGTTAAAAAGGAATTCTACCTGAATACAGGTGCAAATAGTATTAAGAAGTGTAAAAGATTTCATGTTTTAACCCTTTTGGGGGAAGTATATTCTGAATGAGCTCTGCAGAAAAGTGTGGCTATTTTCTAAGAGTATTTCTCCAGAGGAAGTACTTTAATTATTTTGCGATACTTATATTCTCAGAAAATTATGTTGTATAAGTGTGAGGAAAAAGTAATTTAACAGCTATAGAATAAATTACTGTTTTAAGACTTTGTTTAGAAGAAACATTAGCTTCCTTCCTCCCTCCCTCCCTTCTCTTTCTTTCTTTCTTTCTGTCTTTCTGTTTATGATTTCATGGGACATCCTGGCAAGGAATTTCCTCTCCTAATGCAGGTCAGTACTTTCTCTGCAAATGTCTGCAAGTGCCTGGAGTATTAAGAGGTTAGGGGACTTGCACCAGGTAAAGAGCCAGTTTATGAGTCAAAGGCAGTACTATAGCCTGGGTCTTACTGAATCTGAGATCAGCTCTCATGGTGTGTGGCTCAGATTAAAAACAGAATGCTTAACTGAAAGATTAAATAAACCTACCATTCACTACCCAATTCTGCTGATTCACATAAATAAAGGTCTCCAATGTAGCCCTAAAACATTCTGAAATTCTGGGTAGGAAATTAAAGAATTTTGGGGGAATTGGTAAAGTTTTCATCTCCTCCAGTTCAAAGTTATGACTTTAGAAGAAAAAAGGCTACAGCTGACTATGTAGATGAGGTCAAAGAGCAGGATTTAGTTTCATGGGCTATGCTATCAGAACAATAGGTTCCTGGCAAGGGACTAGGAAAAATTCATTTGGCAAGATCTGATCAAAAGGGATTTCAACCAAATTCTGAAGGAAGAGAGAAAAGCACTCAGATAAAACAGTGAAATAAGATACTATATAGGACAATTTACTTAACCAAGAAAGAAACAGCGTCATGGAAGTTGTGCCTAGTAATTCTTAGTTGAAAATAACAGGAAAACAGGTCAGAAACAATACTATGGTTTCTAATGTCTCCATGACAACCCACAGAGCTGCAATAGTTTTCCATTTCCATTAAAACTGAATAAAAATAACCAAATTAAACCTGAAACTTTAACACAAAATAGTAAATACAATTTCAAAGAAATTACTGAGATTTGTTAAGGTAGACCAATACCTGGAATATGATAATAGCAGGGGATATTTTATACAAAACTAACATTTGATTTATTTTTAAGGCAGAAGAATATAATAGTGTATGAATTTAACTCATATTAAAATCCACAAACTTGAATCAGAAGGTAGAGACTTTCTGAATGAGAATAAAAGGGGAGATAAAGAGAAGTACAATATTGTTATGCAACAGTATTGTTATACAACAGACCACTTGGTCAGAAGTGCCTTCTGAACACAGATGCTAAAACTGGGACAGAGGCAAAATAGAGTGGTGATGGGGGACTTCAACTATTCTGATATCAGATGAATGTTATTCTGCTAAAAGCAAAGTATCTGATAAATTCTGTATCTGACTTACTAAAAATGCAAAGGAAGGAAATGGCAAAAAATGCCATCCTGAAAAATACTCAACAAATGAGACCTGTCTGGAGATATTCAAATACTAAAGGAGAGATAACGTTCCATATAGTTGGACAAGTAATTTCTGAAAAGTAGATGTGAAAGCATTTAGAGAAACTGGCAGGACGAGAACTAGGACAGAAGTGTTCCCAAAAAACAAGGAGGAGAATGTCCAGAAGGAAGGGCGGTATCAACAGTGTCAAAAGCTTCAGAGAAGTCAAGAAGCATGTGGACTGAGAAAAAGCCAGTGGATTTAGCAAATCACTGACAAACTTGGGTAGTCCTTTTAGCTAAGTGGTAGAGTAAGAAGCCAGACTGATTGCAAGACACAATCATTCAGATTAATGACAATAGCTCACATTTATGTAACTTTATGGTTACAAAAGGCTTTACATCCACCATCTCATTTTGTCCTTACAACATCCCATCTGAGGTATATTTGTGATTGTACAGATGAGGGAAATTAAGGCTCAGAGAGATTTGTTAAATGACTTGCTTAAGTTCATGCAGCTAAATAGATGTACAGGTCATGATTTGATTCCAGGTCTTTTGATGCCTAAATCTGACGCCCGTTCTCTTTAGACAAAAAGTCACTCTTTAACGGCCAGTTCCAAAATTGTTTGCTCATACAAATATGGCTTCAAACATCACCTCTATACCAATGACTTCCTCAAGTGCATCTCTGGTCCTGAGCTAGAAGTCTATCTCCAGTAACCTACAAGACATCTCCAGAGATGTGTCACTGTCACTCCCAGCTTGATTTACTCCTTGACTGGCTTCCCTCCCCCAACAAGTCACCATTGCCCTCCTGATTCTTTCTTGGAAGACAGAGCTAATACAGAGACACCGTATGTCACACACACACACATACACTCTCTCTCACTCTCTCTCTCTCTCTCTCTCTCTCTCTCTCCCTCCTCTTACCTAATACTTCTGCAGTGGCCATGATGTCACAGGTATACATTGCTGCCACGAGGCGCTGGGGTTTCACTTGTAGTGCATAGCGGCAAGCTTCTTTCATAGTAGCAATCAGCTGACCAGAGAAAGGGCCATAACAGTCGGCCAGGAATGCTTCCCCTTTACGCTTGCTCCTTTTTTCCAATGTCTCTGGATACTCCTCTTGAAACTGTTCCTTTTCAGTGGGTGACCCTAGAGGTTTACTTGGGTCAGAAGCAGTTTCACCTCTGTCTAGCTCCTCTTCGGCTTTCTCAGTTGCTCCTTGACCCAAGAATTTACTTAGGTCCCATTTTTCTAGAACAAAACAGACACCCATGAGCGGTTCTTCACACATGGGGCCTGAGAATGTTGCCAGCTGAAATCCACTGATGATACTATTGTCAAAATCTCTGTATTTACTTGCTTCTTTAATACATTTGCTCTCAAGGCACTGCCATACAGAGCTCTTAAAATCGTTGCATCTATTTACTAATATATTAGGTCCACATTTCCTAGGACCAAATGACCAGATCTGGTCCACAACATTCCTCCATTTCCTTCCCTGTAGGTTTTGCTCCAACTTTTGTTTGAACTCCTGGATCTTAGCCTGGGTTTTCTCATGAATCATCTGAGTATTTTCCCCCTCACTTAAAGAAGAAGTCAGTTGCTCCATAGACCGAATCAAATCACTATTTTCTTCAAGGATCTGAGTGACTTCTCCCGGGAGAGGCAGGGCTCGGACACTGAGAGTGGCGAGTTTGTTTGGGGTGGTTATTGTGATGAGCCCATCGGCATCAACCTGGACCCCCTCAGGGAGTTTGCTCTGGTCCTCTTTGGTTTGGTGTATGACTGCAATCTTCTGTTGTTTACCTATTTCTTCGTTGACCATGTCCACTTTGGGTGGCTTAGTAATTGTTTCCCTAAATGGGATGATTGGTTCAGATACACTGATTTGAATCTTTGCAAACCTGAAAATAAAACCAATAGATACAATGATGATGATGACCTAGGAAAAACCTACAACTAAAAAATACCACATACATGTGTGAAGCAGGTCCTGTCAAAAAATAAGAGTTATTTTTCTTTTCAGAACTCTGTAATAATTTGTTTCATGAATTCAGAATGTAAAACTCATTTTGATTTCAGTCTAAAAAGATAAAATTCTGCTTAAAAAATAACACTTCAAGCGGAGTACCCAAACTTGTGTGTGTGTGTGTATGTGTGTTAGAACTGCATTATAGTGCTATTATTTAAAATAAAAAGGTTTACTTGCTTGGACTTACCTATCACATTACGTATGTTTTCACTTGGAATGCATTTGTTGTAGTAAGATTTGACTAATTTGTGTTTAAAAAAATAATGTATACCAAATTATTTACTAAGACACATGAGGAGAAAACATCTTATAGTTTTAAGTGGAATACAGAATTTTAGAACTGGAAGGGATACTAGACATCAGTTTAGTTCAACTCCATTGTAAAGATGAGGAAACGAGGCCCAGGGAAGTAAAGCACACAGAGTTAGTATCAAAAGTGGAACTAGGGCCCAAGCCTCGTAACTCAAACATTTTTAATCATTACATTCAATTACTAAGAAGTATATATTATTACACTTAGGAATGACATCTTAAATATAACAAAATGGGCTCTACTGGGAATTATCTTTAGTTTCCAATGGCATCATAAGACCAAAAGTTGATTGTAGCATAAATGCAGAAGGGAAAAATCTCTATCATGTTAGCTTAGGTCAACTGAAAAACGACTGTTTCAGGACCACTTTCTAAGTTCCTTTGAGCTGTGGGGAACTTCTCATTTTCAGACCGGGAAACAGCAACAGCAACTTACACCAACTAGTGGCAGTAATACATCCCTGGATTCCTTCAGGAAGAGCCCAGGCCAAAAACTAAATAAAGTGACATTATACTCCCATAAGAGACATAGAAGTAGAATTCCCAATATTCTTATGAAGGCAGTCTTAGCTAACTACAGGATGTGAATGCACCAAAGTAATATCGAAATCAACCTAGGTGGCATAGTGGATTTGTTGGATTTGGGAGTAAGGAAGACCTGAGTTCAAATCCTGCCTCAGATACTAGCTATGGGGCACTGGGCAAATTACTTTCATTCAGCCTCAGTTTTTTCATCTGTAAAATGGAAATAATAATACCACCTATTTCACAGGGTTGCCTTAAAATACTATGTAAATGCTAACCATCATCATCATTATTAAGTCATTTTTCTCTACCTCTCTCCTCCAACAAAACAGGTAATGTAGTGATATGGAAGGAAACCTGGGCCCTAATCTTGGTTAGTGACAGTGTGAGCCTGTATAAATCAGTAAATTAGGTCTAAGTTTCCTTATATGGGAAATAAAGACACCAGGCTAACTCTTTCCAGCTCTACCATTCTATGAGCTATAATTGGGAAATACAAAGTCCTTTCCAAATAGGGAGAGAGTTGTCGCTACTGCCTTTTTCTCCCCTTCCTTTTAGCCCTCATTATTCCCGGTTGTGTTTCATTTTTCACTGCTTCCATTCCTTGTATTCAAGGACCTATAAGTAATCCCTTTTTCCTCTTGTCTACTTTTTGTCCCCACAGCAAACGTGGAAAACTAGGAAAAGAAGACATTTGGTTAAATAATTCGTGTTCACCTGTATGGCCATCTCATTTATTTTAGTTTCTTTCTTCTTTTTTTTTTTGGTGAGGCAATCGAGGTTAAGTGACTTGCCCAGGGTCACACAGCTACTAAGAGTTAAGTATCTGAGGCTGGATCTGAATTCAGGTCCTCCTGACTCCAGGGCCAGTGCTCTATCCACTGCACCACTTACCTGCCTCTATGATTTTCTTCTATGGTATATTCAGATTACAGGGCTGCTTTGGGAAACAAAGTAGACTTTGAAATAAAGTCCAATATTTTTTAAAAAAATTATTATTAAATTAAATATTTCTATAAAGAAAAGCCTAAATAAAGATAATTTAATATACATTAAATATAAAAGATTAAGTTTAAACTTTAACATGAAATAAGGATTATGATTTATCTAGGAATCTAAGAGAGATTATCTCCCCACTTCTGCCCTGTGGAAAGCTGTATTTCTTTTAGTTGTTATAGGGGTGGGCACCAGACCTGGGATTTCATTGGTATAAGGGGCTCCAGAAAGATAAAATTCCCTCTACTAAAACAGATCAGCACTTTGCAACTTGCAGGTTTAGAGAGCTGCCCAGAGCCCTGAGAGCTTATGTCAGCTTCCCAGGGTCACACACCCTGTAGATTTATTTCAGAGGCAGGATTTAAGGCCTTCCTGGCCTCAAAGCCAAATTTCTAACAACTATCTGTCACTGCCTCTGGTAGTTATTATACTATAGCATATTTGTACATGTGACCATGTCTCAAATATCTTTGTACTTCCTCCAGTGTCAGAAACAGAGGGTTTTTTTTGCACACAGGGACAGAGAGTGGACCTGTGCTTTCCCTGGTAGGGGGAATTCATAGTGAGTAACCTACCTTTAATGATGCATATTGGTACTTCTTCTGTAACTTAGTAGTCTTAAAAGAGTTTCTGAGAGCACTAGGGTTGCACATTCTGTTTAGGGCTGGAACCCAGCTCTCTATGAACCACATCATGAGGCCTCTCATTTAATAAACAGTTGCTACTGCTGTTGATATAATTTTAGAACCTGGTTCTTGTCTACATTACTCTACTGGAAGTGCTCCTTTGCAGATCCCTCAGTAATGTACCACTGCCAAAGCTAATGACCTTTCCTCCATACTCAACTCTTCACCTCCCTGCTAATGTTCTGGCCATACTCTACTTGCTTTAGTTGCTGTTGAACTACCTTTTCCTCATAGAGAAAACTTACTATCTCTCTGTCCAAACCAAGGTTAAGCACAAGCATCCACTACTGGGGAGATAAGACAAAGGCCTAAAGGCCAAACCAGCTGTGAAAGCTCACTGCAACATCTTGTTAAGATGACTTACATTGCTGGCTTAACTGTTTGTAGCATCCCTGGACTTTAGCATTTTTCCCATTTCTAATTCTCATTCTTTCCCCTTTGAAATTTCGGTTTTGGTTTATTCTACTCTACTTCTTTATAAATGACCTTTGCCTACCTCAACCCTGATCCCATGGGCTCTGAGAATTAAACCGACAAAGAACCACGACATGTACCCAAACGTCCTTTCTAATTACTCTTTCTGCCACTTCTTTTTCCACTTACCTCTCTTTAGGGCCTAAGTAATTTCTCATCTGCCTTCCATCAGGTGTGGCAGGAGAAGGAGGCTTATTTTCCTATCTATGCCCTATAGGATTTCTTTAGTTTTCAGTAGACTCCAGTGACTGTACAGAGGCATCTCCATGCCTCTGTAGGAGGAGGGAAAAAAAAAAAAAGGAAAAATCCTAGTATCATTTGATCATGGTTATGAGGAATTTACCTATTCCACTATCTAATACCATTTAGTGTTTTTCAATTTTGAAAGCTTCATTTTTGTGTATAAACTTGAATGATATGTTAGCTAGTGTTATAAAATCACTTTCGCAATTTAATTTTTGTCTATTTTAGATGAATTTTAATGAAATCATAATTTTTTCCCCTTTCTTTTTCCTAAAAATCATCCTCTGAGCAGTGTAATTGGAGCCAGAAGCCCTAGATTCAAATCTTGCCTCTTCTACTTATTACCTCTACCTGTGCAGCCTTGGGAAAATCAAGTTTACCTTTCTGGGGCTCAGCTGCCTCATCTAATAAATGATGGTACTGAGCAATATAACTTCTGGCTCAAAATCCCATGATTAAAAAGAATCTGAGCTATGAAAGAATGGAGTTTTATCACCTCCAGAAACAGGTGTCTCCAGCAACCACGGAGAGCAACTAACTATAAGAGTGCTTGAGAAGAATGCTTAAAGTATCTCTTTAGAGAACATACATCCAAAGATGGCTGAGGGGCCTCTGTCTGCATTACTTTGCTCCCTTCATTCAGCATCAGTCTATATTTCTGATGATGTTTATAAGCTGTAACACTGATCTTTCCAATTGCTTTCATGCTGAATGGTTTTCAAAGTGAGCTGGTTTTCTATAAATACTTTAATACCATGTCAAGGCCACATTTCTGAAAAAAAAAATCAATTTCTCTTTCTGTAAGTGTAATTTTTTTTTCTCCTGAGGAAAAAAAGTGCACCTAAACACCAGTGAATGCAAATAATACACACCTAAAATACAAGTGGATGACTTAACTCAGATACTCACTGAAGCATAAGAACACACACTTGGAGGGGGTAATTCTAAGTTTAAAAAGATGCATGATATTATGCAGAGAGGAAACTAATGGTTTGAGAATTAAAAAATAAATTAAAATTGATTTTAATGTGAGAGGGGAATTTATTTCAAATTACTACTGAGAAGCACAGAATTTTGAGCTGGAAGAAATCTCAGAAGTAATCTTAGTAAAAATTATTTTCACAGATAAAGAAACTAAGGTTCAGAAATGTTAAGGGACCTGTCCAAGGAAATACATCATCTATTTCATTTACAAGAATTGCTTCAGTATCTACTCTGTGTCAGGCACTGCACTGTACCAGGAGTTGGGAAATACAAAGGCAAAAGTGCTTGCCCTTAGGGAACTTACATTCTATCAAAGATTATCTAAAGCTAATAAACTAAATAACTTTATAAGTTAAAACAATCATTGAAAGTTATTAATATTTACTCTTTTAAAAGAAATTATGCTTTGTGATTTATTATTCTCTGAGTGCTAATGAAGCTTTCCATAATTAGCAAGACAATTTTAACAAAGAAACCTAATGACATCAAAGAAGGTAAAGGAAAGGCAATGCAGAGGACCAGAAGTCAGAAGCCCTGGGGCCTACTCCTAACTCTTGTCACTACCTCTCTGTGACTAGGAATAATTCTTCTGACATCTCTAAGCCACAGGTCCTTTTCAGTTCTAAAATTCTAAGTTCTTAATCTAAATAGCCATAAAAATTTTAAACCTAAAGAAAGGGGAAAAAATCCACAATTTCATTAAAATTTATCTAAAATAGGAGACAAAAATCAAATTGCAATACTTTTTTTATTAAAAAAAGTTATTTTATAATACTAGCTAACATGCCATTCAACTTTATACTTAAAAATGAAGATGTCAAAATGGAAAAACATCATATGGGATTAGATGGTGGAATAGGTAAATTCTTTACAACCACATTCAAATGATACTAAGATTTTCTTTCTTCATTTCCAAGTAACTTCTTTTATTAAAACATTACCTTGATAATGTATATAAAAGCACTTTAAAGCAATATATGCTGTCATTTATTATTATTATTATATAAAATATTATATGACAATATATGACTAATATAGAAAAATAACATTAAAATAAAAAGCATTCAAGAAAATAGGAAGAAAGTGACATTTCCTGGTGGTAGTCATTTTATAGTTATTAAAATTTAAATGTATGATCCAGTTGCAGCAAAACTCTTGCACAAGGAGGCTTTGCCTACCCACCAAAGATAAACCTCAGTCATGGATTTCAATAACTGAGGAATACTCAAACAACCTACTGAACTACACACATATAGGGAACATAACTCCACCACCCTTGTCTCCTAACCTTTCTTTCAAGTCATCCAGGCATCGTTGGAGATGGACCTCTCCTGCTGTAACTAACACATGTTCTCCAGTCTCCTGAATTAAAACTTGCACACATGGATCAGCCTGGTTTAAAAGCTTCATTCCTTTAACCAACTGCGGCATCTCACCTAAGCAGACCAAATAGAAAATGCTTATTAAAAATACAGCAAAAGGAGGACTATTAAAAACCATTACCATCCAAGGGAAAGAATAGAAATCCATTAGTACTGAAGCTCCTAATGTTTTTTTTAACCCATTTGGATAAAAACCTCTACAAAAATTACAATTATGTGTGAACTTATTACTTCAAAATTCAGTTTTACACATTTTTAGGCCATAGCATTCACAAGCATGCAATGTGAAATCCGTAGCTAGTCTGTAATACCCCTTGAACTCTTCAATAGACATAACTATCGTCTACCATTGGTTCTAGGAATATAACAGACATCTCCCCCCAAATCACAGATAAAACATAGGCAGCTAATAACCAAAGGAAGGCTTCAGTGTGGAATCTAGCTAAAAGAAAAATGAGAATAAATAGCTGTCACAGAGCTGCTGCAACAGGGAAAAACTCAAATCATCTATAAAATTGCTTATATTACAATCAGGATTTTTCTGGGCATAAAACTTGCCCTATAAGTATCAGCTTTAAGCATCTTGATAAAGTTATTAGTTATTGCCTTTGAAGCCATCTCTCCAGTCTTGTAGAGCTCTCTAAATGCCTCTCCTCATATAGATATATGGCATGTAGAGCAACACTTTGGAGCTTTCTTAGAGTATCATCAGAAGAGGGTCCCTTGCATGGCAGTACCTGAGTACCTATCAGGCTGTCCTGCCCAAGTCTCCCTCCTGGAGATACCCATATTTTTACTGACTTCACAGGAAGTCTACCAAATGAGTGGATTTGTCCACAAAGAGGCTGTGGAATACTGGTCTGGTTTTGGAGTGATTGTGTAGGGTGTGGATCCCTGCAGCCTCTGAAACAGACGTTTTAAAGTACTTTATATTAACATATGGTCTTGTTCCTGTTTTAAACAGGAAGAAACAAACAATGGCCCCCCAAAGTCTGTATTTTAGAGACCAACCCAGAAATCCCAGACATCATAGCTCTACTGATTCCACAAACGAAAAGTACTTGATGTGACAGAATGGGGGAGTCAAAAAGAGTGAAGGATTTAGAGTCAGGTGACCTGAATTTGAATCCCAGTTTTGCTCCTTAACTACCTGTGTGGCCTTGGTCCAGTCACTTCACCTTTCTAGGTCTCAGTTTCCTCATCTGCAAAATAACTGGGGTGGTCTTGAACCCTAAGGTTTCTTCCAGCTCACATTCCTCTGATCCTACGATCCAGTACATGTAGGATGTGGCCAGTGGGTAAGGCAGTTCCCAAAGTGGACATCAGTAATTAGGAGAAGGCAAAATAGTTGAGACTCAGAAAAGGAACACTCTGTTAGACTAACAGGAATCCACACAAATGGTGACATGAGCCTTCCTGGAAGCTGTCCTAGAACAATCAGAAGCCAGACCACTGAAAACATGCGGAATCAAAAATAGCATCTGAAATTGTGAAGATGCTAGGAAGATGTTGCAATGAAGCAAAACCAGAAATCAGATGGTGTGGGTCAACGTGTGGTCTAGAAAAGGTCTGGCCTAAAAAGCTCAGAGAGAAAGATTTGCTCCTGCATCCTCCTTCTTCCCTTGGCTTATGTGACACTTCCCTCTCCTGGTTCTTTTTCTACCTGTGTGACAGCTATCTCAGTCTCCCCAGCCTTATTTCACAATCATGGCCTACCCCAAAACTTTGAAAAAAGGCTCTCTTGACTTATCTTTGATTCTCTGCTGTTGATGTATCAGCTCCCCTGATTTTAGTTATCATTCCCTTCCTATCTACCCATCCATCCATCCTAAATCTCTCTACCAAGCTTCAGTCATGGATTTCCAATAGCTTACTGGACATTTATTTTCACCTGGATGTCAGGTAGATATTTAAAATTTAGTATAAACTGAACCAACATGACTGCCCTGAAATCCTCTCAAAATTGGGAGACTGGAAGAAAGGTTATTTCCTCATCACACAGGTGGTAAGTCCCAGGACATAATAACTAGGATTACTCTCCTGATTGTGTATCCTATTTTGTGTTTCCTAGGTCTTTGTTGTAATGGGTCCACTCTGACCTCAAGTTATGGCCAAAGAATTCTTGCCCACCCTGCCAATTGTGGACAAGCAAGAAGGATGCAGCTGCCAGAAGATCTAGAGGCAATGACAACACTTAAGAGACTGGTAGAGTTACAGAAACCTGTAGAGAACGTGGGAACCACTGTCACCCACAGTTTTTGACTAATGTCATACCACCAAGCACCAATTCTGAGTTTCAAGGAGGCATTTTAGGGAGAAATTGTGGCTAATGCTGCTGCTACAGAAGAGAACATGGTGAAAATGAATCCTTTCATGGAAATAACTGTCATTTTACCAACAGCCAATGCTACTCCTTTTAGAGATTTTTCTCTGACCTGGTCCCCTCCCCACAACTTTGGACCACTGCAACCTCTTAACAAGCCATTTGGACTTCTTTATACTGTGAATTCTGGCTTCCTTGAGTATAGCATTCTATTCATCTTCTTACATCAAAATTCAGATCTTGCCCCTTTTCCCCACAAGAGTTTTTTTTCAAAGGGTTCACTGAAATGATAGGCAGGATTCTAATGGACCATAAATCTATAAAGAAATTCAGCTGAGGAGGCACAGAAAGCCATCAAGAATATATTTCTGAAGACCAAAGAGAAAGACTAATGATGAGGAGGAAAAAGGGGAGTTGTCTAAAGAGACTGATTTGGATACACAGAAGAAACTCATCAACCAGCTAAGATTTTTTTCAGAAGTGTACTGACAATGGGAACAAGTACAGTAATGGAGGATTAACATAATGGCATAAACTGCGATGAATGTCAGGAGGGCTAAAGTTAAGAATGAACTAACCTTGGCAAGAAATACTCAGGCTTAAAAAAAAAAAAGACGTGTTTCTTTTAACTAAACTGAGGAAAAGAGGAGGACTAAAGAAGAGAAGTAAACTTGTCCCACTTGCCAGGACAGATGGAGCGATGATAAATGATGATGCAGGGAAGGTAAAACTGATCAATTCTGATTTTACATCTATTAACCAACCCAAAGCGGAATAAACTGCCTTACAAGGTAGTGGGTTCCCTTTTATTTAAGGTTTTTCAGTAAATGCCGGAAGACTACTTATCAGTGCTGTTGTAGAAGGATCATTTTTTAAGGGCCAGCTGGACGAAATGGCCTTCATGGTTTCTTCCAATTGTGAAAGTCTGTGATTCTGATTCACCCTCAGGTGCACTGGATTTTTCTTAGTTACCAGCAAGACAGAAGGGACTACTACAAAATCCCTAAATACTAAAGACAAGCAGTTCTAAAAGCACAATATGTAGTATCCATTGCAAAGAGCAAAGCACAAGTGTCTTGCACAGTAGGCATTTAATAAATATTTGTGGAACTGAGCTGGAACACAAGAGCTGTCTTACCTGGATGTTTTGGCTCAATTGCAACTCTCACAATGGGAGTGGCTTCAAAGTTGAGTGGGATAAAGGGAGGGCAAGATGGCGAGGTACACAGGGTAGCAGACTTCAGGACAAACTCCTGCAGACCTCCTATCCCTAAAAAACAAACAAGAACAACAAACTCAGTGAACAAGAACTCAAGGTTTAAGATATCAATAAATAATGACAAAATCTGAATGTACAACTGAAAACCAAAACAAGGCCAATATCTAATCTGATTTAAAATGATACAGATTTGCACACTGATTTTTTATTAATATGCAATCCCTGGCACTGCTTCCAAAACCCGGATTCTGTATTGCATCATAAAAGACTAATATAGGCCCCAACTTGGAACACAGCATTACTCAATGACATCTTGTCTTCCAACACTGATTAACATACATCACGCTTATAGATAACATTTAATTTTTTAAGAATAAACGTAGAACAGAAATTCTCTTTAACAAAGAATTAATTTCCTTAATGCAGGAAGACTTCTTCCATTCAAATCCTACTATCACAGCTCACTGTGGTTTAAGAAGTGATCATGGGTTTTTCAAGCTATGCCAGAAAAGCACAACCTTGAGAGATCCTAAAATGTCTACCATTCAAAGATAAGCCTCGCTAAGTTTAAAGAACATCCCAAGGCTGGTTATGGATGTTTTTCTGGCCACTGCTAGCAACTCAAGAAGATCATCTACCACAGAAGGAAGAGAGAAGCTACCATTTGCAATCAAAGGATGTAGGACGACAACAATGAAATTATAGATTCTTTAGATATCTTAACAAGAAATGGAGGAAAATTTTAAATAAGTGGACTCATTTCAACTGATTATTTATACATTCATTTAGTCAACAAATATTTAAAGTTTTAATAGAAACATTAAACATCAATACAAACTACATTTGCTTTATATTGATTCATATTTAAATTAGTTTAAATGCATAAAATTTCTTAATACTTTTTTTTAGTTTTATCCTTAAGTCTCCATTATGATTGTTCAGTTATTTTCTTCAAATAATCACAGATTTATTTCACTCACTTTTCCTCATATGATAGAGTTAAAATACAATCCGTTCTTCTGGTTCTGCTTTTTTCACATTTTGTGATTTAATAAAAGATCTTTCTAGATTTGTTTGTATCTTAATTGCTTTATAGCATTCCATTATATGAATGTACCACACTTTAATCATTCTCCTACCGTTCGACATTTAGGTTGCTTTATCTTTCTCTCTCACAATTATATAGAACGCTTCTATGAAAATCTTTCAGCAGATAGCTCTTTTATTCGTATTATGATGACACAATAAGGGTATATCCTTAAAGAAAGAATTATTGGGTCAAAGAGTATAATTATCTTTACAAACTTTATTGCATAATGCCAATCTCAGAAAGATTTTAGAAGTTTTCAGTTCCACCATCAATGAATAAATATTCCCATTTGGTCATAATGTTTACATCATTATTTCATGATTTTTGAGTATTTTTGCCAACTTGATAGGTGTGAGATGGTATCTCAAAGTCAACAAGTATTTACTGAACACACTATGTATGAGGTATTTGTGTTATATACTGTAGATGACACAAAGACATATGAACTAGCTCCTCTCCTTTAGGAGTTTACAATCTTGAGGGGAGATAAGAAATATGCACAAAAAACTACAATACGAGGCAATATATAAGTGCTATAAGAGTGGCATAGATACTGATTATATAGATATACAGAGAAAGATGATAAGGTATGGCACAGTGTTCAGGAACATTTTAATGGAGGAAACGACATTTGACTTGGATCTTGAGAGATAAGCAGGATTCAATAACTGAGTTGAAAAAGGGAATCCAATCAAAAGAGAGAATGTGAAGAGCATGAAGAGGCATGTCGGAGGGACAGAAATAATATCAGTTTAGAAGAAATTGAGCAAGTTTATCTAGGGAAGTACTGTGAGCTCAGGCTACAATAAGAATTAAACCTGCAAAGGGCCTGGAATGCTAAACAAAAGGCTTTACCCCTTTGTGTTCTGAGGTCATGGAGAGTCAGTGAGGATTTTTGAGCAAAGGGACAACTTCATCAAAGAAGTGTTTTTATATACTTTATCTGACAGCAATGAAATAGAAGGATGAGGATAAGGAAATAAAAGTAGAGGTACCAGTTATGAACAGATGAGAGGTAGACTATGAAGAAAGATGTGACAAGAGTTGTCAACTGATAAATTGTAAGAAGAGAGGAAACAGTCAATGACGACTTCAAGACTTCAAGTCTGGTTGATGGGAAAAGCATCGATAACACCGCCAAAAGTAGGGAATTAGGGAAAAGGAACTACTTCATGGGTTTAGGGGAAGATGATGGCTTGGGTTTTAGACACATTAAATCTGAGATAACTGCAGAACAATCAAGTGGAGATTATAGAGGCAATTGGAAGTGTACAACCAGAACTTAAGAGAAAGCTCATAGACGGAGATAAAGACTTAGGAATTATTCAATATACTTCAATTTAAGAAACACTTATTAAGTGTCTACTGTATGAGGGATCATGCTAGGTCCTGGGGATACAAAAACAAAAAAATAGTCCTTGTCCTCAAAAAACTTACTTATGCTGGGGGTAAAAGGAAATACAGAGATGAATAAATACAAAACACTTAACAAAGTAATTTCAAGAGGGAAAAAGCCCTAACAACTTATGGATGGGGTGGGGAATCTAGAAAGACCACAAATAGGTGGCAGTAGCCATAGTGTGCTTTGAAGAAACTTGGACTTTCCAAGAAGAAATTATAAAGGACTGCATTCCAGAAAAGGGAGGAGCAGCTGTGCAAAGGCAAAGAGGTGGTAAAGGAAATACCATGTATAGGCAATAGGCAGGGGAGTAAAATGAAATAAAAGGCTAGAAGGGATGTGAGGGATGCAATCAAGTATATAAAATAGTTGAAACTGTGAGCAGGAGGCAAAGGATAAAACCTTGAAGAATGTCCACATTTAAGGGGTCTGAGGAAGAAAACAGCCAGAAAAAGAGAAAGAGTGCAAAAGGAAAGCCAAACTCTAAAGATAGAAAGAATTCCTTTTGTGTGTAATTTGGTGGTGGTTCTACATCAGGAGAAGTGACAATTTCCCTGAAACCATCAGCATTTCTTAAACTGGAATCTTATTGTTCAATTATATCCTATCCATTTAGGCAACACAGTAAACACACACATGCACATACATACACGCACACACATGTGAGCATGCACACACTTCATAACAGCAAGCAGAAGTGTTAACTTCCCATTTAATATACCACTAACCTGAGTCAAATGATGCTGCAATTGAAACCCACGATTATTTCTGGCAGACACATGCCCTACCACCTTTACAATTCCACTGGCAGAACCAACAGTCAAAACCCACAAATAGAGCTATGATTCACAGCTCAGATGAAATGGAACTATGACGTCCATTATCATGTTATAGGTTTGTGTGTGCAAGACCAACATTCAGAAAGCAATTTATTTTCTCTTGGGACAATCAGAGTACTTATATGGATGATGGTGCCTCTGTCTGGTCTTGTAGCCAAACACCTAAACTTCACACAAACATGATTAAATGAATAAAAATTGTTATCATTTTTCAAAAAGCAAAATTGAAAATACTTTTATTCAATCAACTAACTATAAATATTAATAAACATATTTTAAATAAGGCACACAATTTAACATAATGTTTTAATACAAAATCTAGACACGATCAGGAGGCATCCTCTAACAAATTTTTAAATATTATAAAATATTCTTTAGTCTAATTCTAGCTTTCCCCCAGGCTTCAAGAGTGCTCATGCTCAAAATGAGCCAATGTTACGATGTGGCAGACAAAAAGATCCAATGCTATTTAAGGTTGCATTAAGAGAAGCATATTGTCCAAGACGAGAGATAATGACTCCACTGTACTGGTCAGACTACATCTGGAACACTGCATTTAGTTCTGGGCATCACATTTTAAAAGAGACATTGGCAAGCTTAAGTTCCTCTAGAAGAGAGCTATCAGTATAGTCAAGAGTATGGAAAAAGAAAAGTCAAATTTTTAGTCTGTATAACTCCAAAGGACAAGAATAGGATAAAAGGTTGAAAAATTTCTTTGGATTTCAGTTCAATATTAGAAAGACCTCTAAAAATCAGAGCTATGTCAAAATAGAATAGCCTTTTATAAGTTCTCTGTCTTTGGAAGTGTAACAGAGGCTGGATAGTCATTTGTCACGAACAATTATTTGGGAACTTATTTATTAGGTGGGAACTTGGCTGACACTTAAATATCTATTAAGCACCTAATATGCTCAAGGCAGTATGCCAGGGCACTGGGCTTACAATAGGGGGAAGATATGACTTGACACAGTTGTTGTTGTTCAGCCATGTCCAACTCTTCATGAACCCATGGACCATAGAACATTTGGTCTTTCTATTCTCCACTCTGTCTTGAAGTACGTTAAAGTTTGTGTTAGTTGTTTCTACGACGCTACCCATCCATCTCATCCTCTGCTGTTCCCTTCTCTTTTTGCCTTCAATCTTTCCCAACATCATTCTGTCTTCTCATTTATGTGGCCAGTGAAGAGCCTGAATTAATTTCTTGAAGTATTGACTAATTTGAGCAAATCAGCTCCTCCTCTTCTTTCCTCTCCTACCCTCTCCTCTCTTCTCTTCTCCCCTCCTCTCCTCTTCTCCCTTCCTCTCTCTCCATGGGGTGGTCGTGCCCTTACCTGAGGGCATTCTGCCCAAAGGAAAGCAAATTTTGACAGCTGAAGCCTAGCCTGACGTCATGGGGTTTACTGGCTAGAATTCTGCCTAAAGACCATGCCTGAAACTCAATTCATTCTAGCTCTCACTGATTGGCCAACAATAGGTCCCTTTCCAAGCACCACTTAATGGTTATTTTTTTGGCCCTGATGGTTCTGAGTGAATGTAAATAGTAATCCCCTCTCAGTTCGAGCTTAAAGTGACAGTAGGATAACCAGGTAGCGATATCTAGCTGATATTATAAATATAACACTGGAGATCAGAGGAAAGAAAGAAGGGCTAGAAAGAGCACAGGCCCCAGAGTGAGAGGACATGAGCTCAGATACCATCTCAGATACCAACTTACTGTTGCTTA